TCCCCGTGACACTTCAACTACAAATGTTCTGATGTTAAATTTAATACACACATATACATACATATATACGTATATATACGTTGTCTGTCTGTCAGTCAGTCAGTCAGTCAGTCAGTAAGTATACGTGAATGAGAGAGAGTGAGAGAGAGAGAGAAAAACTAGACGAATGAACGAGAATAAGACACAATTCGTAAGGTGAGAGAGCAACGCGGCTTCCGCCGACGCCGGCCGGTGCTTCCAATCGAACTGAAGGGGGTTGGTTGACGGTGGCGCCGCCGAGGGACGCTGAAAGACGCCGTGTGGAATGCGTCACGAGCACTACCACCACCCCCAACCCCCTACTCCCCAACCCCCATCACCAATATATATATATATATAGCATTACCACCACCACCAACTTTGGCTTCGATCGGTCGCCATATTTCTTTTGCCCTGCGTTTATTATACTACCCCCGAAAACGACCTTCTCTCTCTTCCAGGCCATCCAATCAGGTGGGGAAGGAATCGGGTGGTGTGCAGGGGGCTTAGAATTCCCTGGACGGAAACCCCTCACCTTCTCTTTCTTTCTTTTTTTTTTACTTTCTTCTTCTTCTTCTTCTTCCCTTCTACGATTTCTTCAACCCTCCCTCTCCCCCTAAACCTACCCTTAACTCCACTCTTTTTGTTTCTTTTTTCTATTTTCGATAAGCCTTTATCGGTTTACGCACTTCATCTTTTCAGGTTACTATTTCTAGTTGCTTTTTGTTGTCTTCATTTTTCTTTTCGTTTCAACAACCGAGCTTTTTGTTTTTTATTTTTGATTTGTTTTGTTTTGTTTTATTTTATTGGTAAGAATTTGTTCAGAAAAATCTATAATACTTCCCCTTCATCCCCTTGGTTGGCTTTAAAAGCTCACTATAAATGAATAGAAAGATAGATGAAGAAGTGTAATAAAAGTAAATTGATGAGTATGAACCATTCGCGTGCTTTGACTGTGGATACTTTTTTTTTTTTTTTTTAATATTTTCTATGTATATTTGTAACCCCATAATATTATGAAAGTGGTTTAAGTGGAAATTTAAAAAAAAAATCAAAACAAACATGAGTTTTATTAGTTACATTTTACACCACCATATTATAGTTTCATAATTTGTATATCAATTTTTTTTTACATTTAATTTTAATTCGATGTAATCAATATATTTCAATTAAATATTATATCGAATTTATTTAACGTTCAAAATTTAATCCTTTAAATATCTCGAAACAAGAGATATATGTGCCCCCATAATAAGTCCAAATTTAACAAAAAAATAAATTTATCAGTTATATTTTCAATGTAATTTTCACACACGATATTGTTAGAAATAAACAATCTCAGAGATAGTATTTGTTATTTCAATATTACATAGAATTTATTTAATGTTCAAATATAATCTTTTTTTAAATATCTCGAAAAAAAATGTA